CCAAACGCCTTCCACTTATCAGGTGTGGTGGCCCGGATCCATAGAACACCCGCAACCATTTTATTTGCCCAGGTGCGTTTTGTCGCCCCTTCAGCGGGAGGCAGGCGGGAAGGGGGTGGGGGTGGTACCTGTGATGAGGGCAGCGGGGCCCGGAGGAGGGAAGCGGGGAGCAGCATCTCGGGCAGGTTCGCTCCGGGGTTCTGCTGCATCTTCAGCACGGATCCACTGCGGGCAGTGCCAGTCACCACGCGGCCGCAGGCTTCAACACTCGCTCTGCCCCAGAGAGCGATGGCTCCGTGTGCCAGGGCTGCCGCGGCGGAGCAAAGGGTCACGACCGCCCGGCCCTGCACCTTCCCCGGCTGCTGCAGGGCACCAGTGTGGCCCTGAGCTTCGGAGGAAAGGGCTGGGGCCGGCCCCAGGCCTGCTGCTCCCACCAGGGAATGATGCGCCAGAGCGCAAATGAATGTGTGAAGTTACCTGCTATTAACATCTTAATTAAAGGGGTTTCAAACAGATACGGCTCCCCCAACCCCAGCATCTAGCAGGAGATGTACATCCAGATACATGCTTAACAACTCATGAAAAATAAACGGTTTAACTCAAACATAGCAGGCCTAGTTTAAAAGCAAAAACCAATACTGGTTTTCCCCCAAAACATTCCTTGGTGAGGGAGGTATAGGTACGTGGTTTCCACAATACATTTTTTGAGGAAAACAGCCACTTTTCTTGGAGTCACTCCTTGCCCAGGAAACATTTCCTTTTATGTAATGGTCTGCCTTCCCTGTTTGGGTCTGTATGATCTTGCGTTCTGCTCCATAGTACGTTACCTGACTGCACGCTGTTTGATTCACTGGCTGATGACTGTCCATTAATTATTCTGAATCGTAGGTGATGGCTAGCATTCAGTCTATTTCTTATGTATTACATTGATTTAGCAATCTGTAAGATTATACATTACTAAATAAAAGCACCTCATAGCCTTAAAAGATCTATCGATTGTTAGGGACTTCCTTACTGAAGAGGAAGGTAAGACGGTCGATTGTGAATACGACACGCTTAAATTGTGTGGATTGCAAATACCACAACAATACATTTGAAGACTGTTCCATAATATTTTATGGATTAGAAACTCGAAATTATTTGCTATAAGTCCAGAAATTTAGCTACTATCAATTCTAGTAACAATGGTTAGTTTGGACAATACAACAGATTTGTGTAATAAAAAATAATACATTCATTTTTCTGAATCTTACAGCTATAAAAAGTTCTGGCTAACTGTGAAGTTCTAAGCTCAAGGTAGTTTGAAAAGAGTTACATAATCAAATAGCCTAATTGTGATGTTCCTGATTTCAGAATGAAGGGGTGGCCTATGGGACTTTGTTTATTAAACATTGTGTCATTCCTAGCCCTCACTTTGCAGGCACGTTTTGGTAAATTTGACATCTAGGAATGACACAAGTTTAATAAACAAAGCCCCATAGGCCACCCATTCTGGTATTATATAAAACGACTGTTCCTCAGATGTCTGTGCCCCTTCACAGTTAACAGAGCACCCCTATCCTTCCAATCGTCATTAGGAAACTACAGAAATCATATAAAAAGATTAAAGAAAAAGCTTTAGACCTCTTTTTGAAGATATGTATTTTGTGCAAGACAACTACAACTTCTCATTTTCAACTGCTTTTATATCATCCAATTTTTTTTCCAAAGAGATGCCAAGAGACAAAAGAGAACCCACACTCACAACCAGAACACTCTTCACTGAGCACCATTAATGGTACTTTAAAATAGTTTGAAAGGTTGTCAGTATCTTCTCTAAACTAAAACCACGATACTTCATTCAGAAAGGAAGAGAGCACACTAGAAAACTTTTCCTCTAATAAAACAGGCAGACAGAAACATCAACAGGAGAGAAAGTTAGCAAAGACAAAAAGTTAAGCACATTTTTCTAGTGGTTAAATTTTTGCTCTTTTCTGTGGAGATACATGATGGCATGTGTATGATTCAAGCTTGCCATTCAAATATAACAATTCCTGTACATTTAATTTTACTGAAATAGTAATGAAGATGCTGGTTGCTAGTGAGCAAAGCAATACATTGGTAATGTCAAGAGATGTGATGCTTGTCTCCCTGTCACAGCTAAAGTAGCTGTTATTGCCTGACCTTTCCCAGTTGTTCAGCTGAATTAGGATACAAGCTAAAAAAATGCAACTATGTATGCAGTGTAGCTGGTAATGTTGTTCTGACTTTTCAGAAAACTAGTATTAGATCTATTATGGCAGATAAAGCATTAACCAGTACAGAAAAAAACCTAATTGTTTTGCATCAAAGAAATGGTTTTCCCAATAATCTAAGCATACTTAGAAGACACAAGCCTACCATCGTATGTTCAAAAAACTGATTAATTTTCACATCTTTGGAACATGTCAGCAAACCTTTTTATTAAAAGTCTTCAGCAGTCAGTGGTGGAGCTAATGTTAGAATACAAGACTGCATGACACCCAAACGTGCATTTTTTTTATTCTAGGTAACAAAAATTATTCTAACAGGACTTTAGAAAAGAAAAATATTATTGAACAAGATGTTCTGGGGAGGGCAACAGAAACAAAAAAATTATTTTTTTTTAAACCAGGCACTGACTGCTCTTTCTCAGCAAAGACAAGAAGTATGATGGCAAGGCAGTATATAAAACAAGGCTCTGAGACTCAAACATGGCAGGTCTAGTTTAAAAGGAAAAACCAATACTTCTCGCCCCCCAAAACCCCAACACATTCCTTGGTGAGGGAGCTATAGGTATTGGGCTTCCACAATATTAGTTTGTCATTCCTCCATTTTCTTCAGTCAGAGCAAGGATTACGACTCATGCCCTTCTACAGACCAAAAAAAACCACAAACCCTTGCGTGGACAGCGGCTTTGAGAAACATTACTCGTGGCGTGTATTTAAACTACCACGTGCATTCCCACTGTAACAACAGTGAACAGGACTGTCAGAAACAAGTCAAACACCAGGCAGCCCAAGGGTCAGCTGAAGGCCTCAGGAAGACATTATTTACCCTCATTCAAACAGGCGGCTGAACTACACTCTGACTGCTTGGCAAGCACTTCTTTTTGAATTACCATTAAAAGGCCAGGAGAATTAGATGCATCACAGTAAGAACCAGATATTAAATGCAAGACTCCCAAGATACTATTAAAAAAATTCCTGCGTACACAGGAACTGAAGTATTAAAATCGCCAAGAAAATCTGGTTTGCAAAACAGTCTTTTATTGTATCCGTGCCACACATACTAGTGAAAAATAACACTCCTAAAAAAGGAAAAGAAAAAGAATGCTACCTTTCCACAACATTTCTTTTAAATAAAACTTCAAGTACTCTTACATTAGTACAAAAAAAATTCTGATCTATCTGCCTCAACAGGCCACCACAACACACAGTAGATAAAACACAGTGGTTACAAATGTCTTTTTTGTTATTTCTGTGGCAAGGCAAATGGAGGGAAATGTTTCTATGAAAAAATACTGTGTGCGTAGGAAATTGTCACAATTTTATTCCACATGGATACAAATGATTATACTTGAATTTGAGGCCGTGGTGGCTTGAAATTATATAACAAAATAGAAAAATGGAAAACTAATATCCCCTACACCCTGTTTTAAAGGCAGGCACTACCAAGATTAAGGAGACTCCACAGTGTTGGTAGAGGATAATTACTGTACAAGCCATATAGCTGTAATTACCTTAAGACTAAAATAAAATGCTACCATCCTCCTAAGGCATAAACAATAATGTCTGCAAACAATATGTACACATCATACATATTTAAAACAAGACTTAATATAAACAATAATGAACAGTATATACATGTCTCAATTTTTCTTCACTGTTTTGAAATACAATTTAACTACACAGGTGATGCAGCAACATATATATAAATGTACTTGTAACTCTACAGTAAAGATTTAATTTTTAGTGCTTTTACAGCACATCAGTGTAAACAGTTTTACTTGGCTTTGTTTTATATTTTAAAACATTCCTTGTTGTATTTTCAAGATTTAAAGCAATTTTCTAATTCTTCCTTTTCACAGAAAACGAAGATTCTGAATGCTGTATAATCATAAATAATTCATAAAATTAAATACATTCACTAAAAAATAAACTACAAAGTAAAAAAATGAAAAATAGATATTTATTGAAAGGGAAAAGAGAACCATTTCCCCAAGTAGAGCTCTGGTGGTTGAATATTCAGTGCGTTTTGATATATTTTAGATTGCTATTGCACTATTACACCCCTTTCTTTGAAATTCTTTGGGTGTGCTTCCCTGTTCTACCTAAATTAGTTTGTTAAAACACAAAAACCAATAACCAAGGGGCCATGGTTGCTGTAGGAGTGAAGCCTTTAGAACTAGTATCACAATTCTGTGATATTTTAAAGGAAAAAAAACAGTCATTACTTAGGTATGTGCCTTGCACTTCATGTAAATACAGTTCACATTGCTGGTCTTATCAGTCCTCATTTAATGAAAAAAAAACCCAAAACAAAACAGAAAACCAAAGAAAAAGGACAAGAAGAGTTCTTGTAACTTCAGCTCACTTTGAAAATCTCTGTCCATTTTTTTTCAAAATACTTCCTCATGTTGTGGCCAGCCCTGCCTATGTCAGAATCATCTTCATTAAAGGTTTCACAGTTGTCAAAAACAAGCCTGACATCTAGCGAAAACGCTTCAAGATTGGGGTACCTGAAAGAAGAAAAAGGTGAATGATTTTTGGGACATGGAGAATCAAAGGTGAAAAACACTTCAACTACATGAGAAAGAACTACCTTAATATCAGTGAATTTACAACCAGCCACAGAAAATTCAATGAATGCTTTACATGCTAATTCTACTTTTAATTTTTTAATTCTAATTTAAATATTAACAAGAAAATGAACACCAGTGGAAGGAAATACTCTCTCACCATTGAATTAATTATCTTCCTCAAAAACTGTAAGGTAGAATTTCAAGCCTGTACTAGAAAACAGTTTTTTTTAAAAATTAGCTTCCGTCTTCTCTTTAATAGCTCTCTAGTTAAAATGCTATGGCTATTTTTCCCTTTATTCACCTATTCTTGGGCTCAAGTCCTTTCAAAGATAGCTTGGAGCAGAGCGGCATTTACGTCAAACGCGAACCATCAGGTACAAAACTGGCTGCCTAGATCAATCCCGTAACACTGTCCTTGTTATTCTTTTTGTTATCCTGAACATACATGGCCCAAATAGTATTCCACTATTCACAGGAATTATTAAAAAGAAAGACAGTAAAAGTTACAAGTTTACTGATACCAATGAGCATGTGTGGAGCATTTAAATCTCAGATTCAAGCGAGAAAAAGCCCAAAGAGGTTAAGGAGTCCCTTGCATTATCCTAGGAAATGCACTTTGTGTGGGGCTGACAGCCACTGAAGGGGGTCCACCGTTATGGATGGATGACAAAATTTTCTGTGCTGGTGGGGAGTCATTATTGCACAGGGATGTAACAAGGAGGGAAGGGGAGCAGAGGCATATAGTGTCTTTTCATTTTTTAAGAAATTGTGCAGTCTAATTCTAGGACTATAAAATTATTAACCACCATTACTGGAACGTTACCTGGCTTCCCTCCACAGGGGTACCAGTTCACTCCACAGCTACAACATTATCTACAGGGATTCCGTTAGCTTAAAGCCCACACAGTTGGTTCTTGCCTACATTTAACAACTCTAAGATGTCTCAGTGAGAAAAGATGAGGAAAAAAAAAAAAATTTCCTGTTGATGGGTTCTGTGCATTTGACCTGCCAGTTTTATTGTTTTTCAGCCAATTCTGCAGGTTCTCCCACCTGACATGCTACACTTGGATATGGCAAAGACAAAAGTATATGGTTAAGAATTTTTATTTTGACTGAAAAGTAATCACAGAGGTGCCAGAGCAGGCAGATCAAAATAGTTTCACTAATTTTTTAAAAAAGGTACTGTATTTCAACACTTAAATATTTTTAAAATGTAAAGTAAAATTTACAATAAGTTTACTTACTGTCCACTACTAAGCTTGTCTCTAATGGTGGAAAAGTCCATAGGTTTTTTAATAACTTTCTTATAACCAGGAACAAGTTTCAAGTTTACAGGAAGTAAGAAAGGCCAGGCATCTTCATGAGTTTCCAATTCTGAGAGAATCATGCTGAATAAAATAAGGTTTTAAATTAATATTTTTAAGTTCTTCATATATTCACAGAGGTTTTTCACTGTTCCATAAATTCATCATGTACTGCCAACCTGTTAACTTCATGAAAGGAAAGCACTTTGTTCTCTGCCCTGTGCAAGGCTGAGAAAAATGTCAATAAAGAGACTCCCAGCATGCACACATTAAATCCTTTGTATTTACACTCAAGATTATCACAACCTGTATGGGCTACATGACAAAGAATAGGGTTCTTGTTCCCCAGAACACAGATAAGCATCAGGCACTACTTGTTTCAACACTTACCCAAGTTTAGTATTTGCCACTTTACCTGCATATAGCCAGGTCCTTGGAGTCATCTCTTTTAGGTTTCTTAATAGCAGTGAAATTTTCTTGCTTTAATTGGCTTACAGAAACATTTTCATCCATTTTTCTTTTTTTAGTGTCTGTTTTTCCTTTTTTTAAGGAGATGCTTGTAGTTGCAGAGTCTTCATCCTCTGTATCTCCTGCTAATTTCCTGCTTCTCTTTTGTTCATTACTTTTTTTCCCTTTGATTTGAAGTTTTTTTATTTTTAGAGTTTGACCACTTGCCTACAATAGAGAGAACTGAAATAAGCAATAACCAAGAAATTACAGAAACATCTGTTGTTATTGATAGATAGCAATGAATATCAGAGAAATAGAAGCACCAAAACAATTGAAATATTTAGTATCAGATTATTCAGTTTTTGCTCTTCCCTAAAGTCAAGTAAGGCTGTAGAAATTCTGGTTATTAGTGACAATATAAAAGCACCTGACCTTCAGATTAATAGAACAGTACCTCCTAACAATCCAGGCTGGCACAGTTTTAGATTAATATGTGTCTATTCCTAAAAGACTGATACAACCACAGATGGAATAGTATATTCATGGTCAAGCAACCATATTATTTGCAAGATATGGAAAAGTAGAAAAGAGTTTTTAAAAAGTCAGGGATGGGATCAACTGATTTAAAGATTAAAAGCTACATATGAAAGATATATATATATAACTCTGCTACAAGCCAACTGCAGAACGTAAAAGGAGTATGACAATACAAGAATGCTACAAAGTGGGGAAAAAGGAACATTATTTAATACATTTATTTATAGACAGAAAGATGAAGCTAAGGTGTGCATTAAGATGAAAACTATGGGTATGACAGCATCATAACGCGACATAGTAGATGAAGTCATCATTTGGATCTTTAGAATAGGAACTCTGTGGAATGTCTAGTCAAGCACATGATGCCATTGAAAAAACTCACTGACAGTCAAAGAGTGAAAAGCTAGAAAAAAGCTTTCATTAAGAAAGAGAGCCACCATCAAAAGTACTAACCTCTGCCTGTGCTACTAAGGCTACTTTAGATAGTTTGAACTATTTTTAAAATGTAACATTTATATTTTATATGCTCCTATCAAAATACTATTTGGTTTTAAAGTTGTCTAAACCTCTATTTTTATAATATTTTTTTCAGAGTTAAGAATACACAGATTACTCTACCTACCAGAAACCATTGCTACACAATTCCTTTCTTTCACAAATGTCACAGAATCACAGAATATTAGGGATTGGAAGGGACCTTGAAAGATCATCTATTCCAAAATCCCTGCCAGAGCAGGAACCTAAATGAGATCACACAGGAAGGCGTCCAGGCGGGTCTTGAATGTCTCCAGAGAAGGAGACTCCACACCCTCCCTGGGCAGCCTGTCCCAGGGCTCTGTCACCCTCACCGTAAAGAAGTTTCTTCTCAAGTTTAAGCAGAACCTCCTGTGTTCCAGCTCACACCCACTGCCCCTTGTCCTACCATTGGACATCACTGAGAAGAGCCTGGCTCCATCCTCCTGACATTCGCCCTTTACATATTTATAAACATTAATGAGGTCACCCCTCAGTCTCCTCTTCTCCAAGCTAAAGAGCCCCAGCTCCCTCAGCCTTTCCTCAGCAGGGAGATGCTCCACTCCCTTCATCATCTTGAACTTTCTTAAGCACTTGGCACTGATTGTTAACGAGCATGGTGAAAAATGTCATCAGTTTGTACAAATCAGATGATGAATGAATGCATGAATGTGTAAAAAATGTATGTTGTGTATAGAATTCCTTTTGCTTAACGCAGAATGCTAGAAAGATTTGTAAATAGTTGTACTCTCCTAACAATACAGTGTATCATGACTATGTCCTTGGTCCGAGGACAGAACAACAGTCAAGTGTATCAGTTCAAAGGGCAATTGAAGAGGAATGTTGATTTCCAACAATTTGGTTAAAAACACAATGTAATGCGGAAGGACAAATCAACTGTCATCACCTAAGGCCTGCCTTTGAAATGTTCTGTGAATATTACTTCTGTGGGACAGTATTTGGCTGATCTCAGCA